TGGCTTCGCCGACTTCTTCGCCAGGTACAGCGCGGGCTGCGCCGGGAGTCGGGGTGGGGCCGGCCTTGGAGCTGGCGCGAGCTGCTGGAAAGGAAGGCTGCCTCCGTGTGGCCCCACGCGCGGCGGGACTTGGCTTTGATTTGTCTCTCGGGGAAGAGGAACTGGGTCGGCATTGTTTCTGTAGGAATCCGTATGAGCCCTGCGGGGAGGAAACCTTTCTGTCGCCCTGTTGGTTGTACACGGGGTTCACATGTGCTTTCTGTGCATTTTGTTCTGGCTAACCTGCTAGTCATGTCTGCTGTTGCTTTTGGAAAAGCTGATAACTTCGGCTCCCATTCTTTTTGGGACCTTAAAGATTTGGATGGAGTGGAGGTGGTACATGCACACGGGTGTGGTTGTGAAAGAGAAAGGGAAGTCGTCTTGCAAAGCTGTCTATTTAACGGGGAGGTGGAAATTCTTGAAATTAGAAGTGGTGTTCCATAGTGTTTAATTATTTGTTTCAGTGGCCTTGTCGAAAACGAGGTCGGTTTGGTGTTAAGTATTAGATCCAGTCCTTTAAGCAATTTGCTATCGCATTTTTTTAATCTAGGAAAACCCCCATTTTCCCGCTTGAACTCAAATCGGACTCCTCTTTTTTCAGTCCTTTTTTCAGCCCACTTCCCTTGCCTCAGACTTGCTAGGCAAGAGCTCTACCACAGAGCTACATCCCCATCCCTTAACGACCTATTTTTAATTTTGTCATGGTGCTTTATTTGTGATTTGACAAATTAAAATTGATGTTGTTCAAATTAAATTGTGGTCCTGGACATTGCAGATTTCAGAATGAGGTTTTGTTGGTTTGATAGGGATAGATAAATAGTTGGAAAATATTTCTCTTAATGCACATTGCTGAAAAACCAATTTCCTTTGAGTTGTATTTTGACATGGCTTAAAAAAAATCTCTAGGTAAATATTCTCAACTTGTAAAATTTCTCCTTTTAAAGCTTTTATTCTTCTGTTTTTGTTCCCTTTTGAGGGACAGTGACTATACAAGTGAAAGAAACAAATTCTGTTCAGTTTTTAGAAGGTTGTACAATCAGTGTATGTATTTGTAGATACAAAGACACACTTCATTATCGTTGTTCTTCCTGCTTGTATAAATTTACAAAGAAACTATACCTAAATCAATGAGAAGTCTTAATTTTGTGCTACTTATAGAACAAAATATATAGCATTGAGATCTTTATTTGTGCCTGTAGTTGCAAAAATATATTTAAAGCTTACAGTGGTGATATTCTCAAGGTTGGTTAAGTTTACGGATTTGTGACACGTTGTGGCATTTGGGTGTTTATCGGTCACTCTCTCTTGGTCATAATTTGAGGTCAGATGTCAAGCAATTTTAGACTTGGAAAGGGCCTTGAACACTCATTCAACCAGTATATCCTGCGAGTTTGTTTTGTGTCAAGCATTGGGAATAGATGTGATTTAGGCAATGGTCTCTGACCTGGAGATGCAGTGCAAGCTAATGTGGATTAAGTTGGAAAACAGCTGCATTGCAGTTTATGGGAAATAACAAGATAAATCTATTTGAAGCTTTCACCTTATTAGCAGTAGGTAGAATTTTCATCAAACTATTAAGTGTTCTTTACCTTATAGATTAATAGAACTTTCATTACTATAGCTAGATAACATTCATCAGTGGGTATCACATAGAAGTTACAGGAATTTGCTTAGAATGGATCTGTTGTCATTTTGGAAGGCTTTGGTGGTCATCTCCAGCTTTGCTTCTGGATTAGGTGAATATTATTTCAGTCCCTGTTGGGACTTTGCTTTTTAATTTCACTGGGCACCTTTCTGTGTCTGTGATGACTTTGTTGTGGGAGGCCTAGGGGTAACCCTTTCTCAGATCCTTGACCCTTTCCTGTATGTAAAAATTGAGGTAGTTGTGTACTACCTACCTCCATGTTTACTAACTCAGCAGAAAGGTCTGAAGACTTTTTTTTTTTAATCTTTTTATTTCCAGGCTAACCTTTGTTCCTCAGTGATTCATTTCTCCTTCTTGAAAAATAAATGGCTTTAAACTATATTTTGTGGATCTTTTAAGAAAATTCATGTCTTAAGCCGGGCGTGGTGGCGCACACCTGTAATCCCTCACTTGGGAAGCTAAGGCAGGAGGATCACTGCGAGTTCAAGACCAGCCTGGGCTACACAGTGAGTTCCAGAGCAGTCTGAACTACATAGTGAAACCCTGTCTCAAAAAACCAAAAAAGAAAAGAAAAGAAAATTAATGTCTTAGTTGCTGGTTCTGGAATTAGACTATCTGTATTTGAATTAACCTACTAGCTGTATAATTGCGAACTGCTGTGAAACTTAGAGAACGGTCTATAAAATGAGGATGATAATAGTACCTACCTGATGGGATTATCATCAGGGTTAAGTGAGATACCCTTCTAGAATGCTTTGTACTTATTGTAGCATACATTGAAGACTCAAATATTATTTTTCAGACTCCAGTAAGACTGTTGTAATTCCTTCTTCAACTGCACCACCTAACTCTGCTGATTTAAGGAAAAGATTGGAATGAATTTTTGTGTATTATCTGAGAAAACTACATAACTTACGTACTAGGAGTTTTTTTGTTGTTAATTCAAGTAGTTCTTTATTATGCATAGTGACAACATCTTTACCAAAATAAGTGCTCAAAGAGCTTGACGTGATCCATATTTGGCACACCAGGCAGAGATTGAGAGCCACTCTTTTTACACCAAAAGGAGCAGCAGCCGCCAGGGAATCATAATCAACATGCATTGTGTAGAATTCTGGCTTAGAAACCAACACATCTTATTAATAGCCATGTACACATTACACATTTAAAATATGTAATTTAAGTTAAAATACAATAATAAAATTAAGTTAAAATTCATCTCTTTCATGGATATCCTTTAGTTATTGAAAAATGTATAGGTGGCTTTTGACTTTTCATTGTAGTTGAAGGCACCCACATTTTAGATAGTAACTTCAGATAGGGACCACAGAGGAGCTTCACCAGACAGGCAAAGTCAGTCTGCAACAAATGAAGATGTGTCCCCTTACCTTTTTTTTTTCCAGGAGTATGTGGGCCATTTTCACTTATTTATATCCCACCTTGTTCAAAAATGGTAACTGGGCACTGTTCTTAGCCAAGTTTGAAAATGGATAAAAATTGGATGTAGCAGAGTTGTAAGTTTGTCAATTTTTCTGCTTTCTTATTTAATAGTATTACAAGGCATTCCCTATACCATATACATAGTATATCCAGGTGTTTAATGTCTATGATTTTTTTTTTTTTAGGGCAGAAGTAAGTAGGCTTTCAGATTCAGATTCAAATGCACTTATTTTTTTTTTTGGTACCAGAGTTCGAATTTGGGACCTTGCCCTTGCAAGGCAGGTGGCAGAACCACTGAGCTACATCCCTGGCCCTCAACTGCACTCTTAAAAAGAAATCTGGCGGCTTTTCTGCCATTCTAGTCTCTTCCATGAAATAAATATCATGTGTAAAAAACAAAAACAGGCCTGTAGACCAATGTCAGCTCAGCCCAGGCAAGCACACTTGTAAACACACTTACAAGACAAACTCAAGGTAAAATTTGCTAGGAGGGCACAAACACACCAAAAATGTCTTCCCCTAGGTTTTATTTGTTTGGTTCATTAATTGTTTCATTTTGATTTGATGTTGACAGTTAGATAGAGTTTTTTAAAATTTTGGTGGCTTTCTTTATCTTGTCGGACAGCTTTAACATACTATTGGCTGCCCTAAGAATAAAAATAAAGACTTCTAGACAATGCATCTACTTGAAATGATTTCTTTGGTTTCCTTTGATTCAGGTCGCATGTAATATTGGTAGACAGAGCGCCCAGTTGCTGTGGTTTTTTCAGTTGGTGGCCCCAGCCTCAGTCTCTGTTCCTGCTGTGGAGAGGAAGGAGCCAGAAAGCTGATGCTTTTCCATTTACTTCAAAGAGGCTTCCCTTTTCTTCCTGCAGGCAAATGAAGTTTTTTTTTTTGTTTTTGTTTTGTTTTTTTGAGACAAGGTCTTACTATGTAGTTGAGACTGACCTGGAACTCACCATGTAGCCCAGGCTGGTCTCGAACTCAGAGTGATCCTCCTGTCTCAGCCTCCTGAGTGCTGGGATTAAAGGCGCGCACCACCACGCCTGGCTCCATTGAGGTATTTCTAGGACTAGTCTATGTTTACCTTCCATCCTAGACTAATCTATTAATGAAGCCAAGTCTGAGAATACCGTGTGTGTGTGTGTGTGTGTGTGTGTGTGTGTGTGTGTATAAATTACATGCAATAGATCACATAATGAAGAGCAGATAGATGTAGTAGGAGATTTTAAAACATAACTTGTATATAGAATTAGTTGGGTGTTAAACTGAATTCAGGTGTGATGATATAAAATTTCCCGAATTGTTGGAGCAAATCTGAGAAGGAAATGAAAAGCAGGAATGTTGTGAAAGATTGAAATAGTTGTATTTTTTATTGTTTTAAAGGACTTTTATAGACAGGCAAAGCCAATTTTTTAGTTTAAGTTCATGAAATGTTTTACTTGGCCTACTTGTACATTTCAAGTTTACTCTACTGTGGGAAGTTTTGGTGAAAAAATGGAAATATGTGGAGGTTTTGAGGCAAAACATCTGTTACTCATCTTTGAATATACTCAGAAATGGAAAGCAGGTCTCTCTCTCTCTTTTTTTTCTTTTTCCCCCCAGAACTAGAGATTGAATCCAGGGGTATTCTACCACAGAACTACTTCCTCAGTCTTTAATTTTTAGTTTTGGAACAGGGTCTCACTAAGTTGTTGAGGTTGGCCTTGAATTTGAGATCCTTCTGCCTCAGCCTTCCAAGTTACTGAGATATACAACCACAGCCTGCAAGCAAGTCCATTTTGGGAATACTTGTTTGCTTCTTAAGAACTCTGTTAGCTAAGTTAAGAGTTGTCCCCGGACAAGTCTGATGGGCAGTTCCTTGGTCCCTGCTACTTAAATTTCAGTTCTCAAAATTACTTGGAAAGAGGGAGAGTTGTTAAGAATGTTGATTTCTTGAGGCTCCATTTTTGAATCAGTAGATTATGGTGGAGCCTACCAGGAATCTAGAATTTTAATACCTCCCCCATCTTATATTGTGATGCTGCAGATGGTTCCTAGATTTAAGTTACTGAAATACTGGTCTTGATTATGGTGGAGCCTACCAGGAATCTAGAATTTTAATACCTCCCCCATCTTATATTGTGATGCAGATGGTTCCTAGATTTAAGTTACTGAAATACTGGTCCAATCTAGGCAGATTTCCTCAAGTAATAGCTGAAAAAAGATAGAATACATACTTATAGCTCACAATACTTTATTAATTTAAACTTGGAGAGCTGGGGATTTAGCTCAGTGGTTCTGCCACCTGCCTTGCAAGCACAAGAACCCCAGTTCGATCCCTGATACCAAAAAAAAAAAGAAAGAAAGAAATCCAAAATATAGCATTACTTTGCCAGCCTTTACAAGTATGTGAAATTATATGTGCCTAGTTAAATCTTAGCTTCCTTTTTATTAATGGAAAGTTTCTTTCGTTTTAATTTTATGCTATTTAGTTTGCCAGGCTTGCCTAGTTTTTTGTTTATTTTGATGCTGGGAACTGAACCCGGGTCCCTGAACACAGCTGTACTACTGAGTTATATATGCCCAGCTCCATTCTTGCCTATTCTGTGAAAACTTGTAAATCTTTCCTCTGGTCCCCTCAACATAGTAGCATAGCTCAGCCTTTCTAATGTTTTATCAAAAATGTGTTCATTTTTATTCCTTCTGCTTCTAGTTGTAATTTTTTCCTGTGCTTTTGAGAAGTCCTGCTTACTATCCTCTAAAGTTTGCTGCTTCAGCTTTTCTTGTACTTCTTATTTCTGTGGCTAAGAGAGGGAAACCCATGTGACTGTCTTGGTTTTTACAGGATCTTTCCTTCCATTAAAAGAAGTTTACTTGGGAAACCAAGTTAACTAGTTTGCAAATGAACTTGATAATGCATTTAACTTACTTTTGACTTTGACCTTTCACTTACTTTGTAATTTAATTTTATGTTGGGCACATTGTGTGTGTGTGTGTACGTGTGTGTTAAAAAATATTTCTGTCTGTCTAACTCCATCAGATTAAAATATTTAAATTTGGAACTGAACATGATAGTTTTAAAATGAAACTGTGTTCTGTTTTCTCATATTTTCCAAAATCTGTAATGTACATCTATCCATTGTACATTGGGCATTATTTAGAATTTTCAAATCTGGTTTTCATCTGGTTGTTTCTAGTCATCTTTCTGTCAAGTAGGAGAAATACATTTTTTGTTGTTCTGGAAAATAGTATTCAAGGAACGTAACAGGTTACTTTTTAAAAAAAGGACAAAGAAGTATAAAATAAAAGATAAATATTTTGTTTCTGTACTATTCTTGTTAAGATATAGTGAGAAGATAAATTGAAAGGTTTGAAAGTTTGTTAAAAATAAGAGAAACTATTAGAGAATGAGCTTGAAGAGGGCTGTAGAGAGAAAGATTGCTGGAGAGAATAAATGATAGGTAGAAGTTATACTATGAGAGTTTGTAATTAGTATTTGGTCCTGTGAGAGAGTATAACTACAGATTACCTCTACTTTCTCTACTTTGCCTACCATAGTGCTTTTTTGCATGTTTCTAGCCACTTATTTCCTTTAAGGCATCTTCTATTCCTCTCCTCCTTCACTGTTCTTCACTGCTTCTTCTAATAATAGGACATTTGTGAAACTGAAATTTTTAAATGACAGGACATAAATATAAATAAAATTTAGTCTCTAAAAGGTAGATTCGGATATTCAAAAGTGCATGTATCAAAAGATAAGGTAAATGCAAAATGTACTTGCACAATATATCCTTACTTGAGTTGCAGTCTATAAGGGAAGGCTAATTTCTCTACAAGTACTGTGATAAATCTAGCAATTAAAATCTCCCTCACGCATGGGAAAAAAATTCATTGTTTATTACTAGAAAGATATACTTTATAGAAATTAAAGTCTTAAACTAAGCTATTGAAATTTTAATAAGTAAAAGATCCCCTCTGAATACTGTGTTCTGGATTTTTTTTTACCCCCTTTTCTGGTACTGGGGATTGAATTTAGGACCTTGCAATGTGAGGCAGGTGGCAAAACCACTGAGCTAAATCCACAGTCCTGTATTCTGGATTTTTGAAGAGTAATAAAATTGCTATTTTTACTTACATAGCTCTTGACTCCATGCCCCTGTTGACTTTTTTACTTCATCAATCCTATCTTGAATTAAAGCGATAGATAATCTTTGCTGTTTAGAAAACAGAGGATTTGGGGTCGGGATTTAGCTCAGTGGCACTGCACCTGCTTCGCAAGCACAAGGTCCTGAGTTCGATCCCTGGTACCGAAAAAGAAAAGATTTGTTGTGATTCTGAATTGGGCTTTCATCACAAAAATTGGTTATCTAAAGACTAATACCATAACTTTTTATAGGAATTATTGCACGAGGGACGAGCACATTAGTTGAGGATGATATCTGCCCTTGTGATATACTCCCAAAAGCACAGTACATCGAGAATACTAGGGCTGGGAATTTAGCTCAGTGGTTCCGGTACCTGCCTTGCAAGTGCAAGGAAGGACCTGAGTTCGATCCCCGGTACCAAAAAAAAAGAATGCTAGGATAGTTCACCTTGCATGGTGGCACATACCTGTGAATTCTAATACTTGGAAGGCTGATGCAGGAGCCTCATGAATTTGAGGTCAGTCTGGGATACATAGTGAGACCCTGTCTCAAAAAACAAACAAACAAAAAAAAACAACAACAAAAAACCCCCCAAAGAACCAAACAAAAAAACTAGGCTAGGAATTAATTTTCAAAACTGGGCATATATAAATGGCTAAAGGGGAAATGGGAAGGGGAGGGGAACCGAGTAAGGGAAAAGAAAAAATGTGAAAAAAGGAAAAAATGGAAACAAAGTCTTTTTAAATAGGGAAGGGTGCAGGGAGTGAAAGGGGAGGGCAGGGGTATGGGGTAAAAATAAGAACCAAGACATATCATGGAAAGGTACAAGATACCAGTGATACATGTAACTGTATTGTTTGCTTTAAATGTGCCAATAAATTTATGAGGAAAACAAAACAAAACTTGGCATATAACTAGGTTTGGTAGCATGTGCTTATAGTCCCAGCTAATCGGAAGGCTGAGACAGGAGAATTGCTTGAGCTCAAGAGTTCAAGCCTGAGAAGTAGAGCTAGACTTTATCACAAAAGCAAACAAAGCCAGGTGAGTTGTCACACATCTATAATC